TCTTAGCTTATCTAAAGTAGTATGGAATAAATATCTAAGTTCTTTGCCCCTGTAGTTAACTCGTCTAAAAGTAGAGATATCTCGAGAGCCTCATTAAAGATGTGTGGGGGATGGCACGGACACCACATTCTCCCCTTCCTAGAAAGATATGCCCTACTCCTGAGAAAAGGAAAATCAGTAAAACCTCAAAACTCAGTGTTTACGGTCGTCGCAACTGCTTATTATTTCATTGACTTAGTCCTCTCGTTATCTGTAACTTAGCTACGGTCTTGTTATTTTATCAATCCACTATCTTGTATGGTCCTTTTCCAATTTATGGCTAGTTTAGATCCCTTCGACGCTTTGCAATACATCAATGCTCCTGGCCCAGGCGTATTCGTTGCGGGTTGTCTATCTCCCGTTTGGTTCCTGGTAGGGAGCCTGTTTGGATCTGCCTAATCTTTTCCTTCACGTATATCCTGTGTTGGTCTTGATCAAGTGGCTGCTATTCATCTCTAGCTTAAATGGCGTACTTCAATTGGTACGTGATCCGTAGCCGCATCTGTTCTGTCATTTGCAGTTGTCATCCTCGACCTGTCCTCTTTGCCAGAGTTCTCCTAGGCTTAGATTGTTGACCCTTTGCGCCTGATTTCACTCCTGGCTTCCAAACGTTCTTCAGCCTATTAGATACTGAGACGTGCAATCGTTTTCCTTTGCTACCTTCATTGTCCGGGCTAACTCAAGCTTCTTGTGCTGCCTTACTATTTCCTTGTCCTCGCGCTGATCCACACTTCTCCGCATCCGGGTGCCTCCTTATTACTTACGTTCCGGCCACTTGTGCTCCCCGACTTTATGGCGGTGCTCCAAATTCACTGATCTGGCTGGCGCTTACGAATACCTACCCGTTTTAGCCTATCTCTGGTTTCTATGACCAGGCACATCGGAATTACACGCTTATTCGTCACCGGTTGGCTTTGGCATCTAGTCAGCTGCATTACCTAGCTGAGACATAGCAACTCTCATGTTGCTGACGGTCCCGACGTGTCATTCGTACTTGGATCCCTGCCGTCTGATCGTTACTTCACTCTCAGATATACTTGGACATTAGATCGGACTTCTGGAGCTGCGTCTTCTTGCGCTGCGCTCTGCTATGGTCTCGTGCGCGGTATACAGTAAGTTCCTCAATCGGCATGCACTGTGTACCCTCGGACAGAACATACTATGTCTTTTACGATTCTGTAGCTATTACAACCTCTACCGGTTCTCTTGGTCACTCCTTTCTTCCGAGTTAGTCTTCTTTCCATTATCCTTGGAGTACTTATCCTTCGTTTCGCGGTCCCTTTCTTCGTGCTTACTTCGGCATTCACTAGTATCGTGAGTATTCGACTTATGAAAAGAACAGTACTTTCGGGACGAGCTTGCTCGACGTCTTTCCGAGTTACGCGAATGATGCGATCTGTGATGGCGTTCATACTCCTGCTCATCACTTGAGTCACTCCTCTCCTTGAGCCTATGATCCTTCTTACGCTTCCGACCTTGCTCTTCCTGCACCTGTGCGCCTAGCGCCACTAATGCGACAGCTTCCGCATCTTGTATAAACTCCACCGCATCTTCTAGTGTTTGACATCGTTGTTTCTGCACCTTACTCCAGGTTACTGGGGATAGTCCATGCATGAAGTCTCGAAACAGTAGCACTTTTCGCATCTCCTCTGTTACCTTCACCTGCACATTGAGCCGCATCTCTTGTACCTTGAGCGCTCTTACATAGTCCTTAATTACCGTATACTGTCTTTGCTGTGGTATTCGTCGTACCACACCATGCTCTGCTGCTAACTTGGCTTGCAACACTTGGTCAAACACTTGCTGCGTGGTCATCTTCTTGTTCAGTCCTCGTCCATAACATTCCGGAAGGAGTT